ACAGATCAGATTTTAAGTTTTCTCAATTCCCTGTGTTCACTTTTTTCTGCCTCTATTCAGTTTAAATTCCATGGACTCTGACACAAACTCTACTTGGTATCTACTCTTGCCTAAGAGGGCTGCTTTCCCTTGACATTTGTGGTAAATAAGTTCCAGGGGTTGAGTGATATCTGCCAATCACATTAGTGTATTTAGCCACTGTCTCTTGTGGGAAACCATTCCTTGCATTTCCTTCCCTCTTCAAGCCTCCAGTACCTCTTGACTCTCTTGACACGCCACAATAACCTATTGTTTCCTATTTTATTGAGAAAGCAAAACAAAGTAAGAATCCACATTCTTACTTCTTCGCCCAGTACTTCCAGGACATCTTCCCCTCCAGGCCTCTGTCTTCTACAATTTTTCCCGGAAATGGTGACTCTAAAAGTCCAGGGGCTCTGAAAAAAAAGCATCCACGTCATCCTTGATGCTGCCCTTTTCTCTTGCACCCTAAGTCAAATCTGTCAGTAATTGTTTATCACCCTGTCTTCAAAATATGTTTCTCATCAGATGGCTGTTGTGTTTTCTGTTTTGTTCTTGTTTTTACCACTCATGCTGCTGCAGCTCTGTCCAAACTACTATTTTCTCTTGCCAATGAACTTGATGCCCATCCTTTACCTTACGGTCTCTTCTCAGCAGACAACCAATATGATTCTTTTAACACCCAAGTCAAGCCACATCCCATCTTTGTCCAGTACTAGTGTCTGTCTAAGTCACTAACCAAAAACAGACTTGAGGGAGGCTCTGCATAATGTGGTCTCCTCTTTTGTCTCTAATTCATCTTCTCTACCATTCTCCCTCTACTCTACTTCAAATACTAAGACCTCCTTGCTCGTCTTCCAACTCTTTCTGTTCATTCCACCTATGTCAGGGATTTTAATTTCCATTTTTCTCTTTCTGGAATTGTGGTGATACAGTGTGTACTCTAATAAAATTTGCCTGAAGATCAGAGAACAGAACAAGCCACTTGACTAAACATAGAGGCCATGTAGTGGTGGCACATACCTTTAATGTTAGCACTCAGGAGGCAGAGATCTGTCTGGATCTCTGTGAATTCAAAGCCACCCTAGACTACATGAGATTGACTCAGTCTAGGAGAGAAACAGAGCCAGGCAGTGGTGGCATATGCCTTTAATCCCAGAACTTGGGAACCACATACCTTTACTCCTAGTGCTTGAGAACTCATGCCTTTGCTTGGGAAGCACACACATCCTTAATTGCAGGAAGTGATGGTTGGGCAGAGAAAGGTATACAAGGCATGAGGAGACAGGAACTAGAGGCTTTTTCAGGCTTAGGAGTTGGCGAGGTAAGAGGTGGTAGCTGTTGTGGCTTGTTCCTTTGTCTCTCTGATCTTCTGGCAAATTTTATTAGGGTACACAGTATATCAACACATGGAATCATCTTCACTTCAGTATCTGTATAGCTCACTCCTGCCTCACCTGTAACTAAAAAAACAAGTAGATAGCAAGATGGCTCAGCAGGTACAGGTACTTGCCACCAAGTCTGAAAACCTCAGTTAGTTCCCTGGGACACACAATGGGAGAACCAAATCTGTCAAATAGTTTACTAACACACACACACACACACACACACACACACACACACACACACATACACACATTATAAATTTTATAAATTTAATGTGTGTCTGTCTGTGTGTGGGGGTAACTTTAAACACAATAGAAATCACTAGCGAGTGAAAACTCTAATCTCCTCATAAAGCTTGATTCCACATATCTTCTGCCTCAAAAGCAAATCCACTCTTCCAAGGTGAAGATTTTTCACACTTGCATCTATAATAGTATGTAGATAGGCTGGGGAACCAACTCCAAAAATACGAAAGTTCTAGAATATCTTAGAAAATGAGTTCATTAGTAAATTCAGATTTCAGTTTTCTACAGAGAAGTCAGCATTTTGATAATTTTATTGCTCAGAATTATTTTGGTTATTCTGGATTTGTGTGTGTGTGTGTGTGTGTGTGTGTGTGTGTGTGTGTTTCCAGATGAAATTTAAGATTTATGTGAAGAATTGCATTGGAATCTAGATAGGAATTGTGTCCTTTACGTGAATCGCTTTGGTAGGATGGCCATTTTTATAATAGTAATCCTAATTCATAAATATGGGATGTCTTTCCCTCTTCCTATAGTTCTTACACTTCTTCAGTGTCTTAAAGTTCTTTTTATTCTAGTCTTTTACTTCCTTAATTGGATTTATTCCAAGATTCCTTCTAGGTTAATATCAATGAGATTTTTTTCTTGATTGCATTCTGTGTGTTTGAAAGCTACAGACTTTTTTGTATTAATTGTATATCCTGTTACTTTTCTGAATGTATTTAGCAGTTGTAGAAATTACCCAGTAGAGTCTTTAGGGTCTTTTATGTGTTGAATCATATCATCTGCAAATAAGTGTAGTTTTACCTCTTTCTTTCCTATTACACCCACTTCATCTCCTTTTCTTTTGTGGTAAGAACATTTAAACTCTTCTGTTTAATCCAACTTAAACACACAGTGCATTATTATAAATATAACCACCATCCTACCCACTTATTCTCTAGAACTTACACATGCTGCAAAGCTCAAACTCTGAACTAGTTACAATTTCTAATTTGTGTAGTGATGTTTTCTGACATTCTGTCATTTTTTCTATTGAAGCTATATCTTTGACACTTAGAAAAATCTTTATTTTAAACTTATCATGTAAGTTTAAAGAAAATAAAAGAACTGGCATAATGAAGATGGATCAATACTCATATATATATATATATATATATATATATATATATATATATATATATATATGGTTCTAGGTAGAATTCATTCTTTTCTACACCATATCCCCAAAGGACTGTGTCCTCATTGTCTCTATTACACTGAGCTCTTTATGTCAGCAATACAAAAATAATAATAATAAAATAAACCAAATGACAAACCAAATCTACAGATAGATAACAATAAGTCCTATCGCAAACATTCTGTCTTTGAAATGCTAAATACTCATTAGACTAATTTGTAAAGCAAGGAACAGTCTGAAAAGTTATGAAATCAAAGAGGAAACGAACTGTATCTTTTTCCTGTGAGAGCATGAAAAGATGTTATGACTCATCACATAAACTCATAGGTTTTTATAAGACCTATATCACAGCTATTAGAGAAATCGAGTGATTTGAAGTTATCAAATGTAACCAGCAGAGTGGCAAATTTTCATGCAATAGGAAGGAAGTTCCTTCCATGCATGTTTATGAGCATTCTTTCCTACACAAAATCACAATTTTCCTCTGAGGAATCCTGTCATTGTCATTTAGCACCAAAGCGTGAAATAACAGAAAGGGATGTAACTGGGGTACAGCCACTTGCCATCAGAGGTGGCAAATTCTCTGCATTTTTCTCTAGAGTCAACTAACTCAAGGAGTGAGTCGGCAAATCAGCAGCATAGAGAGATATTCCACAATGGCTTTCCCAGGGTCCTTTCTCAGGAAACTAGCTCCATACAATAAAGAAGAGCAAAGAGGATGACCATGACAATGAGAAAGCTTATCCCCAGTTATTCAGTACCTTCCCATTGGCTGTAGAATAAAGGTCAGTCTCCCCAGACACCTGTATCAGTCTCCTTTGCTCTATGCCTAGGTGACACAACAGCTTTATCCACACTGTAGGAAAAGATGGAAGGTAGGAAAAGAAAGGTACTCAGAGGCCACCTGAATCTTAACATTGGCCTTGACTTTGAATGAGGTGAATTCTGAACAAAGGACTACAGGATACACCACATGGCTTATTCTCACTCATTCTCCTCAAATGCTCTCCATTTCTAGCAAACAAACCTACTCACATTGTGTAGCCTCCTTCCTTATTCTTGCCCATCACAACTTTATTCTGCCTTACCACCGCTTACAAAGTTCTTTTTTCATAAAGTCTCCTCATTTCCTCCAAAGAAGTTGTGATTCTCTCTCTTGCTCCAGGACTGTGAATGCCCAAAGCACTTGGCTCAGGCCATAGTTCTGACTTTTGTGTTTTCTGCCTAACACCAACTATTATGAGCCAAATGATAAAATCATAGATACTCTGTTTTTAACTTTAGCTCATTGCATACCTTTACATTCATGGGTGACATTTTGTACAGAAACATAAGCTGTTACTTCTCTTACGAGAGGGGCCTGGTCCCTCCCAAACCTTGTCAGCTCAGTTCTTGGCCCTCAGCCTGTCACAGCTCTTTGCGGACAGGCACTTCAAATTCTTTCCTCAAATCACTATCAAGTTCCTCATGATTAGTGAAGATTCCGACCACAATTCTCATCCACCTGCTTTTCCGAAAGCACCATGCAGGAGGGTATTTAGATTAAAAAACCAATACTAATATCGCAACTATTTTTTCCAACTGAACTGCTGGAGTATCAATACATCCCAAACCTGCAACTGGAATAACCCCTTTTAATGGGCAGTAAAGAAACTCCTTGTCTGCCATTTTCTCTTGAATTGAGCTAGCATCTTTGTTATCCGTTTTTACCTAGCACCACCAATGATTGAGTCTAGGACCTTCTCTATAAAGCCTACCACAGAGACGTCTCACTAGCCATTTGATTCTACTTCTTTTCTAGCAGAGATTCATTCAGTTGTTGAGAATGGTTTTGAATATACTCTGTAACCTAGGCAGGCTTTGAATTTGCAGTCTTCCTAACCTGGCCTCCTAAAAATCTGAAATTACAGCCATGTGCCACGGAGCCCACATTTATTTCCACTCCAATTAGGGGCTGGTTCTTTAAGCATGGAGGACCCACAGTTATGTGAGCTCCATCCGCTCTCCAATCCACCTGTCCTTGCCCAACAGAAGATCGCTTTATGAATTAACCAGGTTCTTTCACTTCTCTTAGATTTCAACTGAAAATAAGACTTTTTTTTAAAAAAAAAAAGAAAGAAAGAAAAGAAAGAAAGAGCAAAGCTAACCTTCTGCCTCCACTTCTGTCATGACAGGATTTTGTGCCGCTTTATCAGGACTTTGAGAATTTTTATAAGAGGAACCTTTACATGAGAATCAGAGACAGCTGGAATCAGACGGTCTGCAGTGCCCCAGGGCCCTACTTGGACATAAGGGAGAAAGTGTCCGATGACTATAACTGGACATTCAGGTGAAGCAGCCAACTGCAGGGGGTCTGATGGGTGTTTACTCAGGGAAATTCTAGCAAGGTCACCAGTTACAGATCTGAAAAACCTAAGGTGTGGATGAGGCTCATCTTCACCTGCTTATCCTTTTTGCAATGGTGTGGTGGAAGAAAAGTGATCAAGTTGTCAAGGAGCCTTTTTTTTTTTAACCTGAGTCAGCAGGTACACAGCACAGAGAGCCAACCAGATGAGGCTTTGTCAACTTTTTTGTCAAATTGTACCTTCTTGCTTTCTCAATGATGGACTCAGTGATGACCGGGGCCTTTTTTTTTTTTTTTTTTTTTTTTTTTTTTTTTTTTCCTGTAGAAGGTTTAGTAAACACTTTCGGCCAGAACTTGGATGTCATAAAATCAATGAGGGAAAACCAGTGCCTGGTAATGCAGTGGGCACCAGATCCTTTCACTAACCTTGTGCCTCACTTCACTATCAGGCTATAGTCCTCTAATAAAAAAAGAACACTATGCCAAGAACAGCACAAGTTAAAATGGAAAAGACAATGTGAGGCTTGGACAAACTGAAGTCTTTGAGGCAGTAGAATATCAAATGAGATAGCACTGTGTGTTCACTTGCTTATCTTCCTACAAGGTATACTGGAAGAGTTCTCAAAGATGTCATCAACATGGGCTCCTACAACTACCTTGGGCTTGCAAGCAAATATGACGAGTCCATGAAGACAGTAAAGGATGCTTTAGAAGAGTATGGTGTAGGTGTGGCCAGCACCAGACACGAAATGGGTAAGTACATTGATTAATTTGGAATTCTGTCCTGTTGAGTCTCAGATTCTGTGGCAAGCCACAAGAATATATTCTAGAGATACAGGTGTGTAGTAAAGCTATACTTTGACCAGCCAAGGGTCTGTCAAAAGGCAAGCCATTTATTATGAATATTTGATGTTATCCAGCTTTTATAATTTCAGCTGTTTTCTGTTATGAAATTTTTGCATGCCTAAATATTTCAAGACCATTTGGCAAATAGTTCAACTCCTCAGACCTGCTGAATTTCTAGGTAACTAACTCCCCGACTGAGCCTAGGAGACAAGCTGGCTGGGGACTCATAGCTTTGTTTCTTGTGCTAATGAAACTCAAACTATCCCCTTGCCTTGAGACCTAGTGGCTCTCCAGAGCCATTGACTGAGAACAAAAGAGGTTTTTACATATCAAGGTGGTAGGTAGCATGGAGCAACATTCCTGAGGAGGCAGAGAAAGAGAAACAGGTGTTTTCTGTAGAGACAGACAGAACCGGAATGGCATGACCAGGGAGAAGACTTTCGTAGATGGTTAAGACAGAACTCTTGTAGAGTTCATCTGAGCCAGGAATAGAGAAGTAAAGACGGAGGGTGAAGAAACAGAGGACGAAGATGAGGCTGGAAGCATAAGAGCTTAATGGTTAGCAGGCTATGAGAGGACAGTAAATGAGGGAACAAAGAAGAACTGAGCATCAGGACAGAACTGAAGCTATCTATAACAGACAAGACTTCATCCTAGAGAAATATAGTAGACGGACAAGGAGCTTGGTGCATCTAGATTTATTCCTGCCCTAAATGCCTGACAGAGCTGTAGCTGAATAAATAAAATTTTGTCTTAGAGGAATAAAGTTAACAGACATAAGAGCATAGTGTATGTAGATTTTTTTTTCCCTCAGATACACCATGCCAGACATAGTGTCTCCCCAGACTCTGGACAATCTATAAGATTCAAGGTACTACATATTGTTGTGCCCAGATCGTGACCCCCAGAGAGACCACCAAAGACGAGCATGCCGGAATGCAAAAGCAAGGTTTAATTCTGGATATCCAAAAGCAATACAAGCCTAGGAAGGGACTTCGTCCAATACATCCAACGCAGTGGAGGCTGGAGGAAGTGCCCACCTGTCTGCAAGCTCAGTTTTTAAAGG